TTTAACAGAACTTTAAAATCTCAGGTGTGGAGATATTTTACAGCTCATAACACCCATATCTACATGGATGTGTAACTTTATAAAAAGTTACAATCAGAGTTTTCACAGAACTATACACTGTAGACTTATTGATGTGACTCCTGAAAATTCTTTGGAAGTGGGGAGAACCATATACAGGGACAGATTTAAAAGTAAGGAAACAGCTCCCCTTTATAAAAGGTGACCACATGAAGGTGCCTAGAACCAGAGAACCTATATGGAAAATCCTCAAACAATTGCAACCCATACTAGAAGGAGGTCCAGTTCTCAAAGAAATCTCCCCAGTACCACCATCCTATCCTTTAAACAAGCACTGAACCTCATCAACCTCATCACCAGAAGCAAATTTTCTATAGCCCAAAACACACCAAATGGATCCAGACCATGTGGGACAAGAAATGTAAAACCTGCCAACACATCTCTACCACCCCCACAGTTACTACACCCCACAACAGCTCCATCAACATTCCTGGATCTTACACCTGCATCTTGAGACATGTGATATATCTCACCCAGTGCACCAAATGCCCTGATGGAAAATATGTAGGAGAAGCCAAACAACAACTGCCAAAGTCGTCCCTAGGGGAGTGCAGGGCCCGGGGCATATTAACCTGTGCGGAGCTGGGGGGAGGGGGATGGCAAGTCACCGGAGCACAAAGTGGGAGGGGGGTGGCAAGTAGCCAGAGCATGGAGTGGGTGGGGGGATGGGGACGAGCAGCTGGAGTGCAGAGCCAGTAGTGAACGGCGGCCACAGCAGAGCCAGTGGTGCACAGCAGCCATGGCAGGCCCTGTATGACACTGTCTGTGGGCTATCCCCCACAAAGTGCAGGGCCTGGGGCAGTCACCCCAATTTGCACCAGCCTAGGTTTGGCTCTGACAACTGTGCACAAGAATGAATGCACACCAAAAAACTATCAAAGACAAGACTCTCTAATTACCTGTGGGGGCACATTTCTCACAAGAAAACCACTCTCTCTCCAATCTCTCAGTTCTAATCCTCAAAGGGAATTTACAAAATACCTTTCACAGACAAGCCTATGAACTCCACTTCAACAATCTACTGGATACAAAAAATCATGGACTAAATATAGACATTAGATTTATGACACATCATAACCTGCCTAATATGTGATTCCCCAGGTAAACCCTCCACTTTTTACCAGCTATTCTCATTCCCTTCCCCCACACTGTCCTGTCTCCCATTCTTTGACTACAACTACATTCATTCCGCCTTCCCTGCACACCTATCTCTCACCTACTGACCACCTCAATTTACATTTTAACTGACTGGTTTTCGTGCATATGTACTGGCCTCTGGCTGCTTTACTACTCCATCCAGGAAGAGCACAGATCATCTGCAGACACTTCCTTTGCCTGACAAAGGGTGTTTGTGCCCAAAAGCTTGCTAAGAAGAATTTTTCCAACTATTTTACTTGGTCTAATAAAAGATATTGGATTTACCCAAAGAACCTTATCTGCCTATGTCCTTAGACCAATATAGCTACAACATATACCCCTAGAACCAGAGAAGCATTTGAAAAAGGTTATGAACAGACATACATAGAGGAAATCTTCACAGTGGATGAGCCTTCAAAGTAGCCAAGTTAAAACATTTAGAATGTGCCCCCCTCCCAAACACTTATCAAAAAGGTTTATTGTGGACCAGCTTGCCCAGATTTTACTGATAGCAATTTGTCTGTCATAGGAAACGCTAACCCTGCAATAACAAAAGCATCTGGGGAAGGGGGCTGTTAACTATGGTGATTCAGATTTCTAGCTAAGACCTGTTTGAATTACTAGCACTGGAACATGACCCCTTCCCAAAACATGTCAAAACAGTTTATTATGAAGCTGACCTGCTCAAATTTTTACTGATGGGTTTGCCTACCATGCCTCTCAGTTATTTTGGGGACTTGTTTTGTGCTTGATTACATTATTTGTAAGTGGGTTTATACCAATGTTAATAATTCTATATCCCCTAGTTTTGTGGGCTGCCCACCTTGCTCTTTACCCACTTCATAATTCAAAAAACTACAAAGACACACTGCAGTCACGTAACACATCCTTTATTCAGAAGCAACACCTTACAAAAAGTCTTCAACATCCAGTTTCTCTTCTAAACCAAGATTTGTAATCTCTATTCCTTAGCTTTCTTTCAGTGTAGGGCACCAGAGCCATGTCACCCTTGCCAGTCATATTCTTTAAGCCTCATTAGGTTCTTCTGAGAATTACACATCATTTAAAATCCCCATACCCTGTGCTATATTATTTTGAGTTCAACACAAATAGTCTTTAGTACAGCCCATGGCTACAATAATGTTCAATACACTGTCCCAACACAGAGCCCCATAAACTTTCATGGATTTTCTGATTTACATCCTCAGTGATCCAAAGCTTGTAAATTTAAAAGCAAAGCTCGTAAATAAATATTACTGGGCTTTGCTGGATTAAGAAAATTATCCGTGGCATCTTGCCTTGTTCCTCCCCATTTCCAGAAAATGGCTCTCTTAAATGAAGCCTTAGTGGCTGGTGGGGTAACATGGCTAATCATCCAGTGGGCATGCAAAATTGATCACAAGCCTGGTTTGTTATCCTTTCCAGCAGAGGCCAGGACATGCATTCTAATTGTTTCCTGAATCTGACTGGCTGGGAGGTGGGGACAAAGCCTAGCCATGCCCAAACACTATTCTCATCCCTGATTGGGTGGTCCTGAAGGAGGTGGGAAACAAGTTCAGGACACAGACCCAGTTGGCTTCTAGAATCTGACTGCATGGAGGGGAAAGCCATGCCCTAACCAGGCCTAAACATAATTCTTGGCCCTCATTGGACATCTCTGAGGGGGCTGGGAATCCACAAAAGGGTTGATTACTTTAATAACATACCCAGCATATAAACCCTATACAAATCAGAGCCAATGATTATTACATTCATATTATCAAAATTACAGGCTATTAAATGTGCTAATCAACACTTCATCTTCACCTACACTCAAATTCCAGCTTTAGCAACACATACTTCTAATTATGATGTCATAATTAAAGATTGACAGGTCTGATAAGATTTAACAAATGCTTTACCCCCTATACTACTTCCATGTACTCAGCTTATGTTTGAAGAAACCTCAGCTAAAATATAAAGAGGAGATTAGTGACTTAACACCTCTGTTTTTTAGGGATTTAAGACACTTTAGGGATCTGACTTTCAAAGGGCAGCAGCTTGGCAACTTTCATAAAAATCAAGCCCCACTGCATTGTATTAAACTGGCAATTCTGCAAGTGAGGTATTCATAAGTATTAGTCATTTCTGTATATATTGTCCAAACTCCTTTTGCCTATGATAACATCGTCATGCCGTAAGAATACCTTTTATAATTGTAGTTGTCAGGCATATTTTTCCTATGGCAGCTATTTATCATTATGTTGGGGGAATATTATCTGTCTTACTGCAGAACGATCTCTTCTGCCATAATACTTCCTTTTCAACTTTAGACATGACATTTTTGCCTTGGTGAAAGTTCAGCCTAGTTTACAGTCCAGTCATACTAGCATGCACCTGGTTTTATTTTTTTTCATAAAACATTTAGTGGTTCAAATATATTAGTGTTTAAATTTATAAGTATCAGTGGCTTCAAAGTAGATGCAGAAGAATTTCTTAGTTAAATGTTACCTTTATCTCTGTATAATGCAAATAGTTCACTTCATATTTAGTGTTTGTCACTCCAGGGTACAAGAAGCCAGGTCTGGGGCCACTTAGGGACTGAGGTACAGACCAGAGTCAGGAGTGGTAAACAGAATGCAGGGACAAGGTGGGTCAAGAGCCAGGAGATCAATATGAGAGCAGAGTTTAGGAACAAGCTAAATTGGGAAGCCAGGAGGATGTCAAGAAGTGAGCAGAGTCAAAGAGCAAGCTAAGTTAAGAAGCTGCAAGATCAAGCAGAGAGGAGCCAGAAAGTGCAGTTAAAGAGCAAGCTGGAGGGAACAGCAAGGCACCTCAGGCCAAAGTGTGTAGCAGAAAGCCCCCTTTTCCTCTTGCCTGCACTTGCTCTCCCCTCCTTGGATATGTTTTTCCTCTTCTACCTTTTCTTCCTTCCTCTTTCTTTCACTTTAAGATAAGGAATTGTGTTTTAAAATTTGTGTGTGTGCATTTTATATCTCCCCTTGTATTTTGGTATTTTTATCTATTTGTGTGCCATGGCATTACTTTTGTAGCTTATATTTTATACTCCTCACCTTTCAACTAAATGTGTTTAGTTTCAGAAGTTAGTTATACATTGTAACAATGCTAAGGGCAGGAGTCAAACTGCCGCTTCCCTGTATCAGGCGGGCCCCTGAAAGAGCGAGTGAATCAGTGATTGAATGCGTAACACAGTAGCAGGCAGCAATTAACACCTAGGAAAGCCGCAGATCAACCAGCGGGAGAAATCAATAGAAGACAATGTAGCAACCGGGAAATCTCTAAACGTCACTGTTCAAGGGCTAGAAGCCCTGGTCTGAGTTAATCAACGCCGGGGACCAACTTTTGGGCTGAATATCTCCAGATTGACTGCTCCCAGAGCCCTATTCAAAACTCATCAACAGACTCCCAAACCTGCACGTACATGCGGACGACCACTGGGGCTGACACATGCCATCCAGTAGCCACCGAGGGGGAAGTCCCACGAGGGTCAACAACCCCTGGATTGGGCAAACCTGAAAACTGGGGAGTCACCAAAGTCTGCCAAGGACAGATAAAAAGCAGTGGAAAGTGACCCTCAGCAGCGCCCTCTTGATCTCCAACTTGACCAGCATCTGACCTGTCCAGCCAGAAGGACCAGCCGGCGACCCCCTTCTGGAAGATAACACCACGCTGAAAGAAGCCTCGACGGCAGACTCCAGCACCTGTGGGATAGGTATACCTGACTCTTGTAGCTCGCTACTGTGTGTGTGTGTGTGTGTGTGTGTGTGTGTGTGTGGGGACCAGCCCCAAGGTTTATGATTTAACTTCATTACAGTGTTTCAATCCGCCTAATAAACCAGAATTTTAAGGATCCCGAGTTGGACATTTGTAGCCAACAAGTGAATCCTGTTGCCCAGAAACTTCATGTTCCTGCTTTTATATGGGGACAGTAGGGAGTCAGGTGACACTGACCAACCACTCTGGTGACAGGGAGTAGACAAATGGCTAGGCCCTGCTGGAGGCCTCAGGCAAGCCTTGCCCTAGTCATATAGTTTGCCATGGGATGGTAGGTCTGACTGAATGGCTCCATTGACCAGTCCAGGGCCTGAGAATGTCATATCACTGAATAAATACAAAACAGCAGGATACTAAGTACTTAGTTACTCTCCAAAACATACCTCTGGAGCTGTAATTACTCTTCCACTGCAAATTAAAAATGAATAAAAAATCTGGAACTAACAAGCATATGTGCAGTCTGACCAATTAATAAAAACATAAGAACTGATTATGCATCTCTTTTCCCAGTTTTCTTCATTAGTTATATTGTCATATTTAGATGTAGATTTCTCAGCACCAATTTTTCTTCTGCAGTATAACTAGTATAAAGATTGTGCACTGTTGGTGCTACAGATATAATACAAAAAGAGTAATTTAAAACATTAATACTCTGTGGTGGCCTATTTATGTGAGGGACCTCTGTCAGAGCAGAAAATATACATGAGAGAGATGATAGTGCAGGTTGGGCCCTGTAAACAGGGCAGGATGTCCCTTTAAGAGGGAACGATCAGCCTTGTTAAGCAAACCCAGCTGAGAGGCATTGGGACAGCAGGGAGTGTCCCACTGGGGGCTTTAAAAGCTCCCAGAAGAGTAAGCAAAAGGGAGGAAGTAAGTTAGGAGTGGAACAGTTTGCTATGAGGAGGGGGCCAGGTTGATGTGCAGGGGCCAGAGGCAAAGGGCGGAAAGATTTGGTTTTGTCTGTCCATTTGTTTGTTGTTTAAGTACTGTATTTTATTTGGGAGGACTGGTTGAGGGAGCAAAAGCCATCTGCAGAAGCCAACCCATTACAGGAGTTTAGGCAGTTAGATAAGCTCACTATTCATGCTTTATGCCAGAGGTTGGCAAACACTGCATTACCTCATCAATCTACAATTAACCAGACACCATAAAATAACACTGTAAAACAAGGTGTCCTTGTAAGATCTTTCAAGTTGTTTCCCCGTAGATCATAGGTCAGGAGCGGGCAATTATTTCAGGCGGAGGACCACATACTGAGTTTTGGCAAGCCATTGAGGGCTGTATGACAGGCAGCCAGGGGCAGATAAATATTAATTTTCTAAATTGTTTAGGGGCCCCGCAGGCTGGATAGAATGAGCTGGCGGGCCACATCTGGCCCGCGGGCCGCATTTTGCCCACCTCTGTCATAGGTGCTTGACTTTCTCATGGCTGCTATAGTGTAAGTTGTCTCAATTTTCATGAGACGTTGTGACTCAAATGACTCATTATGTCATTCAAATCCAAGTTTAGCTTAGTGGATTTCAGTCAGAAGTAACAGCTCTGAAGTCTGTTGTGTGAGTTTCTTTATTTGAGGAACATGGTTTTAGAAGTGGGGTACTGAGTGATTTTGTTATTCTTCTTGCATACATTCAAAATACAGGACTTTCACTGAAAATTTGTGATTGGTTTAAGTACTGATAGCTCAGCCTTACTACAGGCTCAGTGAAGGTGAAAATATACCACATGAAAGATCATATCAACATTATGACATTCAAGAGTACTCTGCAAAGCATGCTATTATATCAGTGTAGCAATTCAAACATATTTTATTTGAAAGTCTGAATAAATACATGACTTGAATATAAATCAAGATCAACATTAAGAACCAGCTTACTAAAGATTTCTAACTAAATGTTTGTCATTAATTAATTCTAACGTTTAAAAAATTGTGCAAGAGATCAATTGAGTGTCTCATGCATTGCAAGCATGTTTTTGATTAAAGTGAAAAACTTCACCTGAAAAACACAAATTTATACATTTGTCTTGGTTATTAGCAAGCTAAACTTGTTAAAATTAGAAAAACAACTCCTAGCTTTATACAATGAATGGTACTGTTGTGGGAAATAAATTAGTACATCATCCAAGCACAAAGTAGAACGAATCATATTCGATTTATTTCTGACCACGTATAAGCTAGTGTGATATTTTTAAAAAGCATTATAATCAAAATTCAATAGAAGTAATTTAAGGTGATAAATATAAAATGCTGTGCATACATGATACAATCTCAGATGGAATCTAAAGTGCAGTATTTCTCAGTTAAATCTCATAATTTATGCTGTTTTAGGAATTGGGGACTTTCCAAGATATTGAATGCCTTGTATAGGAAAAAAATGACATTTTAAAGTCCCTTCACTGAGTGCTCATTCTTCTCTTATTGTGGTAAATGGTAAAATTACCTTTGATTCAATGAAGCAAGGAGGACTCAAACCAATTTGTATAATGAGCAGAGGAGATGGAAGTCCCGAGTAACAAATAGAACAGTGTGGTGGAGAAAATTGTTTGATTCCAGATTTATTCCAGCTTGGACCTCCTGTTTAAAAAATAAATGGCCCATCACCAGCTATTCACCATCCCTTCCTGATTCAGTGGTATCCTAAATAAAGTTATAAAAAATATAAACTCTGCCCATTTGGTCCTGTTGGGACATAACCAAGACCTAGAACTAACTGTTCAAACAGTTTAGTAGCAGTCCAGTCCAGGCTATACTCAAGTTCTCTCAGTCACTTATAAGGGTGCATCTATACACACATCTATGTGTTTTATTGTGAACTAATTTGGCCCAAGAACCAAATCCTTTCCTTATTTAAGACTGCCACACAAGGGTGATATTAGCAGAATACCAGATACTGACTGTATGACTTGCATAAGTTCTGCCCACCTCCAAATACAAGATTAGATAGGTGAGGGCCACCACAACACACTTATTGACACTAGTTACTGTCCCTTGAGCAAAAACCTCTGCTAGTGCTTGCTGCTGACAGATACATAGGGGGTAGCAGAAGACTAGATGGGTCTCCTTACTCACATATCATACCTCTTACGGATATAGTGTTCATGCTGGCATATTACATTGGTATATTTCTTAGTGTACTCTGAAGTTCTGTAAAGGCACACCTAATTCGCTGCTTTTAGTAGGACGTGAACAATTAGAATTTTTTGCAATGGGAAGGTACTTAACTCCTTGGAAGAGGCACTTGACTAAAAATGTTCAAACTTGGATATCTAAAGTTAAGCCCAGAAATAGGTTGCCTTTGATCTAAAGTTAAAATGGCTTGGAGTTAACAGCATACATTGGAAGCTACACATGCTCAGCACTTCTCCATGCTTAAATATGAGCTTAGGTTCCTACCTCGAGGAATTCAGGCTTGAAAATGTTGGCTTCAGCACCTTGGAAACTAGGCCCTGATATTTTACTCATCTGGCTCTTATATTCTGTAATTCTAGTTATCTCAAGAGCTCTAAAGTCTAAGTGCAAAGGTACATAGGTCCTGGCCTTGCAAACCCTTTCATATACTCTTTACTTAAATTATTATTACTTACTGTCAAGTCCTACTGCTGGTTTATCATGCTTTGGAAAAATAATTAGAAATCTAGATGTTCAGTCATAATTTACTCCAGAAGAAAAATGCCTGCAATGAAGGAATTTCAAATATAGAGAAAAGATTTTGAAATATATATAAACACTTATCAGTGTAATTATTAGCTATGCGTGTGTGCTTTGTACTAGTTTTTGCTATATGCTGCTTCCTTTACTCCCATTAACATTAGTGAGTCTGCTCATGAAAGTACTGTAAAGCAAATAAATTATCTTAACTGGGTTCAACTATCTTTATAATTTGTTTTTAATTGACACAGTTTGGTGTTTCTCTTCTGTATGAAAAGCCCTGTCCCTTTCATCTGTGTGGAAACAGACTTCATACTTGTTTTATAGTTTTCTCACCTGGAGAATGAGAGAGGCAGAACTCTTGATCAAACAGACAATGGAGAAGCAAGTCCACTGACATCTAGGAATGAACTGAGTTGAAATCACAACAGGGCATTTTCTTAATCCTCTTCCTCTCTCATGTGTCAGTTGCATGATGAAGTTTACTGCCACCTATCAGATGTGGAAAGATAACAGGAAAGACACTGATGGGTGTAGTTCTTCAGGTTTTAGCTGGAAAGCTTACCTTTTTAAGAGCATGAAATAATTAGCTTGATGTCAAATTAAATTAAGAGCTCAGTCAAAATCATCATGGGCTCTAGAGGCTTTTCTAAGTGTGGATTTAGAAAACATAAGTAACACATATGTGGGGATGGGGGAGGGTTGGGAAGGTAACAGATGAGGATTACTAGCCCGCAAAGCAGCTTGATAATACTTTAATCAATGCCTGGAACAAATTCAAAGTAATCATAGGAACAAATTCAAGGTGGATTTTCTACACAAGAACTGCAGAACCATTCATGAAAATCTGGACAGGAAATCCTTGCTATGTAACAAAATACATTAAAAACATAGTACTTAGGAAAAGAGAGTTTATATTTCCAAATGTATTTGTAATAAAACAGTGCTCTTTTAGTTAATATACTGATGTTACTCAGTCAACTACTCTGGAAGCTGATGTTATGTTTACCCATAAAAGGCATTATGCTGCTTTTCTGACTCAGAGGTATTGTGGGAAAGGATCAATTCCACAGCAGTTTATTCCTCATCAGCCTCTCAGCTGATGACCCTGCTTTTGATGATTTGTGATACCTGCCCACTAGAAACTATAATAGGATCATCAATTAATATACCATATGCCACTTAACATCCATCAGATGATAATGACATTAAACCATTTCTAACCTGGTCAGTATTTATGTCTGTAACCAAGCAGTAAAAAAGCTCTGCTGCCCTTTCCAAGTACTCTAAACTATCCAGTCCTTCAGTTTTTTACTGGTTAATATTGACGATGGTGCACATGTATCTTGATTCTGGAAGAATAACATATATTGGAATGTACTCTCCAGTTATCCTTGTTCTGTGGGCCAGAAACTCACTTCATGCTGATTTACTTTTAGTCCATGTGCCTCTAATCAGTTTTGCTTGTGCTGTGTTTAGCTTGGTGAACTGTTAAAAATGGAGGAAACAGAATTGGGTTTATGATCCATAGCTGGATAATGTCTATTTATAGCATAGAATTATATTTTCCATTGTGTCTCTTAATTGTCTTTGATTTTGTATAACAAATCTAATTTAATTCTATTTAATTGTGATACTCTGATAAAGAGTATTGTGGTCTTATGTTCCATTAATCTTTCATATGTGACATCCTACTATGTACACCTGTAGAATCTCAGTTAGTCAAAACTGTTCCTAGCATTTGTTCAATTTTTACTCTTCCTTTGTGTAGGCATTTGATCCTGCATATGGGATCTTTAGCACTATACTCGGTGTACTGTCTTATTCTGGCTCTAGGACCAAGTTGACTCTAACTAGCCCGAGGAAATCATGACACTTGTTTGTGCTCCAGTTTATTTTGATCCAGAGTGATTCAGTAGGTGAAAGGTTAGTGCTGTGTACGTGCTCAGTCAAACATGTCTTTCCTCTTTACCACCTCTGTACTTTAAGTGTTGAATCGTTTCCAACAGTGCTATCAATATTTTTGTAAGTGCACTAGAGAAACAGAGATGATAATACCTTATCCTAAATGTAGAGTAATATGGGAAAGTCTAAAAGATCAAAAAGATGAATTGGTATGACTTCCATAAGCTTCACTTGTGTATTTAATTATATTAAAAAGATTAAAAGATAAACTGAGGAATCCTGGCATTTCTATCACCAGCTCCTTGTATCATCCTATGACAACTGTAACCATTACCTCATTGAATCCTTATTTATGCATTAGGTAATCTATTATATGTGCACTAGATTATCTCTGTACTTCTCTATATCTTCCCTGTGCACTGGGTTCCTCTGTTCTGGGTGGCTGGGATTGAAAATAAAATTCTGGATATGGTTCTCTCCTCTCACCACTAAGCAGTGGTGCTCCTGTTGGATGGCTACACACTTCAGCTGCTTCTAGCCCTGAACAACAGAGGCACACTACAGTGCCTAGGAAAGAAACATAATTTCCAACCCCAAAACATTCATGAGTCAAGCCACACAAAAATTACAAGATAGACCTAAAAACAATTCTATCTATCTATCTATCTATCTTTAAAAGTTGGATCCATTTGATTGGCCTTCTGGTGTTTGAGTCTTTAGGGGATAAGTTTTGAAGCTGTCCTCCACAACAACTGGATTAAGAAACTTTTCTTTTTTAATGAAGCTGAGATTCTTATATGATCACGTAAGCTTTATATGTCTTACATGAGTACTCAAGTCTTTAAAAGACACATCAACTATCACAGGAGTTGGCAACACTGGTGGAAGAGGAAGAGGAGGAAATAGTCTCATTCCCTCACCTGCAGAAGCTAAATTTGATCCCACTGCCTAAGTCTGCTGACAAAAAGAACGGAAGAAGGAGCATGGGGGAGGAGGGAAAAGGTGGCCCAACGGAAGATACATGATAGGGAAAGAAAAGGAAATGTCTTAGTTAAGTTCAAGAGGTCACAAAATCTGGGGAGAGTTGCCATAAGTAAAATATTCCTCATACATCTGTTCAAACCAGCCCCACGCTTCAAATCATTGGGCTGTTCTGTCACTGATTTTAATGTGTACTTGCTTCATTCCAAACAATGGGTTCTTTCCTGCTGCCATGTGCCTGTGCTCTGTCAAGGAGGCAAAACATAAATTTACTGCACACCCAGCAGTAAATACTATGAGTAGAAATCGTGTTTGGATAAAAATGAGAATGCAGTATGGCTGTCATGCTATAGGAATTTGGGGCAATCCCAAGGCTGTCTATGTGGTTTGTCCTCGGGTGACTTTGTATCCCAGAACAAAGATAGAGTTGTTTGCTTAAGCTGCAGCCACCTAGGAAATATACACCATCCATTTTGTCCTCCAGTGACTTTTTATCTCGTGGGAACAATATGTATATATATACACATACACAGAGCTGTAGAGTGTTGGAAGATCATGCTAAGTTTTAGGACTGAGGAAAATTAAAATGAGGCAGGAGGGAAATTACATTGTTTCAGTTGTCTTGCATCGCTGCCTGTCAAGACAAAATGGCAGTACAGTATTGTTCTGCATAGTTACACATTAAGAAATACTTGAGCTGTGACATAAGTTTTATATTACTGCATTATTATCACTAATGGTGGAAGATTGTGTAAACTGATGGCCTGTCAACTCATTCACATTTGTACAGTGACTTTAAAAACTCATCTTGATTCATTTCCAAAGCATTTTAATTACCCATGTTAAAATGTTTGGGGGAATGAATTTCATCTTTGTCAGCCATCATTTTTTGCCTTTTACCATGCCCCAAAGCTTTTTAAATATTTACTGACTCTCTGTTTAGTTGTATGCTAACTTCAAACTCCTTTTTCTGCCATACAAAACTAGCCTTTCCTCATAAATTTCCAAGCTTGTCTGCCTTTATACTTGCCTTGGAAATATTCAAACAAACTCAAATGAAATGGAAAATATCAAAATAAATCAGTAAACAATTTTTCCTACGGGGAGATTATTAAAAATATGAACCATTCATGACAGGTGTTAGTCACATCACTTCATATGCCACTGGAAGGTTCTCCGATTCTGTGACGATCAGAGCAGAACAAGATGATTCTATATACAATAGAATATTGCCAAAATGATGCCAGCCGTAACATCATTTCTTTTTCCCATGTCCACTCCCTGTTGTCCCTATACATAAAACATCTCCTCAAAACTGTTCACCAAACTACCTTTCCTTTTCAAACAAATCTCTCCTAAAAACTTGTTTCTGCCAGGCTGCCTAACAGAAATGAGTTAAACAATAAAATATAAATGTTAAATACAATATAATAATACTTTCACAAGCATGTGCATTAATTACTAAATTATCCCTGTGGTCACATCGTTATTATCTCTTTTTCCCTTCCCTTCTTTTTAGTCTGTTAATAATTCACACTTATTGTGCCTTGCCTGACTTTCATTTGGAGCAGAAGTTATGTCTTCACTTGTTTATGTGAAGCATTTATACACTCTGGGGTGTTTAATAACAACAAGCAAATGTTTTCGAGGCCCTGGAGCCACTCATTTGCTGCATCTCAATCTGGCAATATCCTCTCACCCACCCAGTCCTGGCTATCATCTGTCTTAATTTTCCAAACAACGGATAAGTAATGGAGATCTCCAAAATGTATAGCAAAGGGCAAACATTAATAGCAGGCATCTTTCTCCACAGGAAGGCTGCATACAAATGTAATAAATAAATGTATACCAGAGACAGAAAGACATTTTGGTATTTTCTCGTTCACATGTGCATACATTACCTTCATATTTGGTTTCATACAAGTAGTAATCAATGTGAGGCTTGTGGGTTGTATTTACTTATTTAATTCTGTTTCTACTCCTCTCAAATATAACCCCCAATGCAGCGTTCCCAAATTTTCAAAATATGGTAACTCCTTAATTGTTGTCCTGCCTCCCCCCCAAATTCTGGCTGTTTTTATATCCTTGAGTAGTAGCTTGCAGGTAGAACATGTGGAGCTGGGTGAGAACGGAGGGTAGCACCACAAGCACTTTAAACTGGTGTGACCAAATGAACTACAAAATATACTTAAGAAGTCTTCTGACTTTAAAGCTCCTGTTGATTTATTCATATAGCACCAGCACAGCCAGCTGAACAGCTCCTGTAAGGAAACCAGATTTATATGCCAGTTCATCACCTTTTCACTGAAGTGACTGGTGAATAGGCGTGTGGGTAGTTAGTAAGAGGACCAAAAAAGAATGAAAAGGAGGAAGTAGACACATCCTTTGTCTCTGCATGCTGCAAAATTTTAATCTTATTTTTTTTTCTAAATTGAGAGGTATTAACTTGTCTAATAGTATGAAAACTTTCTATGTATTGTTATAAAAGAGTATGGTGGCACCGATGTGTGTTTAAGCTTACAATCAACCCAGCTCTCTAAGTGGGTTCCTAGTCAATCTAGCTGGGGAGCCAAAGATGGTTGAACATAACGTTAGCCTTA